CTGAGGGTAAAGTAACATATTTATTTCCACCCAATATTTCTGTAACTTTCTTAAACATTTTTAAAAATTTCCACACACTTTCCAACACTGCCCATTGTTCTTCACTTAGTTTAAAATATTTTAAGTCAGGATCACTTTCACATAGACAGCTAAGACCTTTTCTTAGTTTTATAGCCACCACCAACATATCGTATGTGGAATTCCATCTGGTTGGAGTGTCCAAAATAGGTGACAGTTCTGAGGGAGCTCCTACTGTTTGGCAGGCACTTTTCAGTCTGTTGCTTAGCTGCTCGGATCTTTTTTTTTTGAAAACACTACGAATCTTCTGAATCTCGTTTAATTCTATCATATCATTTAACTCATCATCATTATCGTCACTTTCAATTTGTTCTTCCCCTTCATCAACATTAAAACTTAAGTGAGCGAAGCATATCCTGGACAGCATGGTTAAGAACGTGGGCCATGCATCGAAAGTGATGATTTATTCTGTCAAAGCTGGGTAAGTAGATTTTTTTGCTCGCTCATAAAAGTAGTACGAGTATTCGCTGCCGCGTTATCAACAGTTATTCCCTGAATTTTTGAATCAATTCCATATTCTTTTAGTGTATCGAAAAACAATTTTGCTATATCTTTCTCGGCATGTTTTCCACGAAACGGAACGAAATCGATGACTATGGACTGAAGTTCCCAATTTTGGTCGATATAATGTCCTGTGATGCCATAATACGATTTACCATTTATCGCCGTCCAACCATCTATGGTAAAAGAAATGTTCGACTTGTTTTGTTTTAAAATCGATTAATACCTTTCGCTTAAGATCAAAGATACGATCCGAAATCATTTTTTTAAGGACTTTGCGTCGTGGTGGTGTCCAGCCAGGCGAATTTGAGGAAAAAACAATCTTGTGGCGTCATCGTCAAAGAATGAAAATGGAAGGTATTTTTTCGCAACCCAATTTACAAGGGTGGCTTGATCTACACCGTCTTTTGTTAAAAAACTTTGAGATTGGAAAAAGTTGTGGATGGTACTCTTTCTAGGGACAGGAGTCGGTGCACTATTAGGGAATAGTCTTTGACATTTATGTCTATGTTGTTTTTGTAAATGTCGCTTTAAGCTAGTTGTACTAGAGGTTTTTACTTTAAATACCGCTTTTTTTAAATTTCTCTACATAACGTGCATATTGCTAATTTCATGTTATGTGAAATAACTTGAAAGTCAAAGTAAATTGAAAACTTACTACTTCGACTATGACTCGATTGTGCACTAGAAGCGTTAGACGGACACGGAACTTCTTCGGTTACGCTGACACTAATTTCACAATCGCTCATTGGTTCACTTAAAGTTTGTGTATGTACATAGTCCGCATCTCTCACACTATCAAAGTCTCTCGATCCATTTTTAATGATTTTTGCAAGAATCGAAAAATTGAGACGATACACAGAATAACCCTCTAATCTAATGCAGACAAATTCGAACTGAAAAGGAAAACCATGCGTCGAAAATGTGACAAACAGAATAAAGAAACACGTCTACAAGTTACCTACAGTTGCAATAAAGGGGCGACATGCAATACAACGGTTGTATTTGTTTACGGACGTAACTTGACCAGCCTCAAGGGTGTCCCAAGAAACAAAACCTTAATAAAAACCCGCTACAATTTCATCTGTAAGCATTAACGAATGTATATTTATATAAATAACATTTCATATACAATGAAGCATTGAGCAATGAATGAAGCTGCTAGAATACTATCAGCCGCCGAGTCTGCATCGCACCATTTAAAAAACATATGTGATGTTACCCAGGCCAGCCCCGAGAGACTGCGCAACTCAAGATTTAAATTTCAAAACTTTCCCTCCCAAACTAACTGAACCCCACGGCACGTGATCGTCTAGACAAAGCTACCTAACCTGAATAACCAAATAATTGGACCATTTACTACGTTGCGTTTTTAAGAGTTGCTACAAGATATGTGTTGCCTGTCGGAGTGAGGATCAAGTAAGGATTACAAATAAAACAAGTACATTCTTTAAAAACGGAGATTTAATCCAAATAATTTGCATTGCAAGATTAAATTTAGAAAATGGTAGTTCACCGAGTACAAATATAAAAATAGGCTGGGAAAAAAAGAACTGACCAAGAAAAACCCAGCCAACAAATTAATATTGAATTTTATAGCAAAATTAGATGTCTGTAATTGTCAAATGCAAGTTGTCAAGTACAGCAATACAATGTTGAATCCCAGGCTCCACTGGAATTCCTAAAGAATGTATATTACACACACATAACAAAAACAATCATTAAAACATTACAATGAATTCATAATAATAGGTTTGGATATTGGATGGCCAGTCCAGATCCCACACCTAGTAGTCTTTAGTTGCTCTGGTCATGACATGTCAACATTGTATGAAATCGCTAGGAGTTGGCCTCTCAGAAGAGCCGTTCACATAGGAAGGATATAGTTGTTTAACACAACCATAAGGTCACAACAAGAACACGCCACACGCTTTTAGCGAATCCCTGCGCAAGTGAGGCCGGGCTTAGCCGGCAGCCCCATGTACGACTAGCGGGACCCCAACTCTTTCATTCATACATCTCTAGGGCCAGTCCAACCCACTAGTCTTAAAATGCCGGGTTATAAATTACCGAACTCCAGGCTCTCTACCATGAGTACTGACAATAACCGATCAAAAGACAAATCATGACATAACATAAATAACCGAGTAACCAACGGCAAACTCGCACGCATACTAAATTATAAACAAAATATACACAATTTATGTAGGCGTTGACAGTCGACGTATTTGCACTGGCATAACAAAGACTGACACAAAACCAACATTCGGTCACTACATGTCAGGGATCGACTAATCGGATTGATTAACAATATCGTCAGGATGGCTCTTTTCAAAGACACAAAAAAAACAGTACCTACATAAAATATATATCTCTGCGTATGTCAGTTCTGAACTTTAGCCAGCCTCTGCTACGTCAAATCGAGATTATATATCTGTATCAAATATAGCACAGTAGGTACATATTCGAAACAAGTCACCCAGCCAAATATTAATAATCATAATCACCCGGTTCACATTACAACAAACACAAAGAAACATGTCGTGGCAAACAATAGCATCAAGTAATTAATTCACAATTCCAAGTGCAATATGTAACAATCAACCACCTAACGTACGTCGCTCGCCCCCAGATGAGACACCCTGTAAATACACAGTAACATATTCAGGTGAACAAAAGCGAAATGTGCTGCAATAAATTCAATTATAATTTAAAATGTAGTTCTGCATAACTTGTATTGGATACCGCCCCTAAGGGAACATACAGTATCTAAATACCTATAAATAAATACACGTAAATCGGTCGGTAATTCTCAGTGGGAACAGTATAATTAAAACTGCAATTTGTATCTAGAATGTGTTATAAATGGCAATAATCAATGCTGTACGAGAATAAAGTTAAATTGGCAAATAATCGAACACGTACATTACATATAATTATTAGATGGATGCAATAGACGTAGAGATAAATAAAATGAGTAAATCACCTTTGTAATTGTCGAAGCTGCACTCACTATTTGCAACGTAAAGATTTACTTCTGGTCTCAACAAAAGCACACATACTTCTGCCTAAATTTCCCCTTTGTGGGCAAATCCTGGACGAAAAAAATGTTAATATCGAATGTGCCCCGAGCCATCGGTCGATATGGATCATTAAGTCCCCTCGCATAGCGTAATATTTGACACTTTTATTGTAAATTATGTCCCATTTCAATGTAGAGCAGAGAAGAAAAAAAACACGTGTTCCACGAAAACGAAACAAAGCGCAATCTTGACCTTTTTCGTCGCGCCAGGCTCGGATTCGGGAATATTTAATCGAATTTTAGCAGGCTAATTCGGTTCCATCACACATAAGTGTAGATGGTATCACATTTTATACGGTAAACATATCAAATTGATACACAGCAAAATTAATATATCCATTATAAATAAATTCAGTCGAGCTTCAAACGAGCAACTCGACTCGAAAAAAACACAGGCGGGCTCGAATGTAACAAGTTGAGCTCGGCTCGTAACGAGCAGAGCCGAGTTTAGCTCAAGTTCGTGTCCATCCCTAATTCGTTGCCGTAGGGGGTCGAAAATAACTTTAATTTAAATTGCTTGCTCTCCACCTTCCTCGGATGAATTTTCAGGTCCGTGGGCAGACTGGAAGTACTAGAGACCCCACATCTAGTTGAAACTTCCCGCAAGAGATTATTTCAGTTTCCTCTTGGGAAAAATAAAAAAAATACTCGTGGAAACCTGAAATTTTGAACACGTGTACATTTTGGGACATATCTGATCATCCCTACCATCGTAGACCCAAGAACCCTACTCTAACCGAAACTTTTTTCCCAAAAATATAATCCCATCAACTTATTAAATGGTCTCAAGATAAATGAATCACACTTATGAATACAGTTCGTTCATTGAAAGGTAAATACTTCTGGCATCTGATCAGTCAAAGTTTCATTATAACATAACCTCTAGAAATTTCAATATTTGTTGCAGATCTCCATATCTGGAATCGACTAGCGAGTGTGGTATGGTACCTTCTGCAGTTTCTCTTAAACTTTAAATCAAAATACATTTCAGACACAAACATTTCAATGTATGTCGTTTGTGATGCTGATGACTAATGATGTATGTATATTTAAAAAGAACAATTACTATATTTACAGTATTCCAAATTACAGCGCACATAAATTAAACGATTAAAAAAATTATACAATAAAAAAATATCTATATACATAGTCAATCAAAATAAAAATAAGTTATTTTTATTACATATCATACACTATTACAAATTAATACCTTTTAAAATGATCTAACGTTATTTGACTTATTAGCTTATGAGTACATTCACCTCGTTTATAATAATGCTTTTCGAGAAAGTACAAAAATGTCAGAACAACTAAGAGAACTATGAACATGCATTTCTTCTTTAATCTGCCGTTGTTTTTGAGGTAGTAGAAAGATCGGGATTTTCAGCAGCCTGCGCCATACGTACATATCCTGCCGGATTCACTACTCTGGCGAAAACAGGTCGGCCCGGTCCTCCTATTTAAGTGATCTTACATTAACTAAAAGACTATGTGGATGCAAAGTGTAAGAATAGTGAAACAACCTCCATGTACTTTTGGAAAAATACAATTTTAAATGTAATAGGTAGATGTCAATTTACCATTCATTAAAGATTCTAATTAAAAAACTAGTTTCAATCTTTGATTTAATTAGACTGTGCCACTCAACGCTAATGCTGTACCGACAATTAGGCCAGGAGCATAACTCATTCACTAAATGTGAATTTCAGAATATACAGATGTGTTATTAATTCCAAAATATACAGGATGGTCCATATGAAAAAATCTAGGAAAAAATGTAGTTAAGGGTCGTATAAGAAATACCAAACACCCTGTATAGTGTCTATCGCGATGGATTCTACATACAAAAGTGCTTAAAGAAAGATTTTCCCAAAATCAATTATCTTTAATAATAAGAAAGTTATGGGACATTAAGTAATTCCAGAAACGCCGCCTAGTGGTCAAACGATTAAAACTAGTTGAATTCTGTTTGCGCCAGTGATTTTCTGTTTAAAATTGATCTCCACACACCTACATCAATTTTTTTCTATCTCTTAAAATATAGGGTGTTTCCATACGAAAGTGTCCAATTTGGACCACCTTTACTGTTTGTGTAGGGACATATTTCGAACTAATTTAATACTAGCATAGATGTAATTGCACTCATTTTACTATATGGAAGGATTATTTATAATACACTTACACATATTACATACTCTAAAAACAATTGACCGAAAAAATTTAGTATTTTCAACAAATGAGTTAGTTACTTTCTTCCCTTCCTCACATAAGACAAGTGAGATAAGGTATCCTAAACTCATTTTGCAGAAAGTGTAATCTTGACTTATCTAGAAGAGTAAGGTGGCATCTTTGTCCAAATCAGTTTCCCTTTTTTTTTTATAAGGTTGTCTTACTAGTCTATGCTTCACACTATGCCAAAATACACACTTACCCCGTCCTCCTTGAGTTTGAGCTATTGGAACCACTTTCAGACCTTGCAGCGTTTTAATATTGAGTGGCGTCCCTTGAAATCCGACCGGTAATAAAATTTGCTGTGTGATAATTTGGCTCTGATTTTGACTGGCCAGCACGACCCGATGCGTGTTGGGCGTCGCGCCCGTTTGTAAACGCACAGTCTGTCCGCCTAGCACTATCTGACCGGGCGATGCGTTCGAATTTTGTTGAATGCTGACTGTTGTCGGTTTAAGTTGGTTGCTCAACATAACCTGCGAGCCTTGTTGCACTTTTAGCGCGGGGCTTAAAATGACCTGCGCGTTTTGCTGGTTTGATACGCTCACAATGCCGCCACTGTTCTGTTGGCAAACGCCTGGCGTCGTCTTTTCGGTATTAGAAATAATGACGCCTGGAGCGTTCGAGTTTGCCTGAGTTTGTATTATGATGTTTTGACCTTGAATATTTTGAAATGTGCTTCCTTTACTTGTGATCAGTAGCGGTTTACCTCCTAACTGAGCTAAATTAATGTTCGCGGCATTAACCATACGTATCGCATTTGTATTTGCCATTACATTAATTCCCACCGATTTAGTGGAGGCAAGGTTTTTGTTTGAGATGGGTACTTTTAACGAATTCTGCGACGAACCGACGATCACTTTGGGTTGTACTAGTTTTTGCCCGCCGATACCTTGCGCCACAAATTTCGCGTTAACCAACTGCTGCGCCAGTTTCGGTATCAGCTTTGCAGGAATTTGAGTTTTCGTATTCGCTTTGGTCGACGGTTTGGCTACCGTTACAGTCGATGTTGCGAGGGTGGTAACGGGTGTAGAAATTATTAATTTGGGTTGGTTTGTGTAGGAGGCAATGCTTGAGGTGGCAACACTGAATTGGGCGACCGAATTTTGAGCGTTTGTTGTTGACAACTGAATTAGATTCGATTGGCCAGCTTTTGTACCTGAGATTCGTAAAGTTGTCCCTAAAGTAAAATATGTAATTGGATAACATGTATATCGCCATATTCACCTTGTGGTAAACTACCATGTTGTTTCTGATGCGCTAGGAGGCTTTCAACCGAAATCACTTGACCGGCCGCATTTGTTAAAACTTTAGCAACCAATGGAGCTTGAGAAGTTGCCATGATGGGTTTTGGAGACAAACCGTCTGAAAGAAAAACGAATTATTAGGTATGCCAACCCCAAGGAAGTTTATATCTGTATTTTTGTGGGCTTGGAATGAAGAAAGCGAAAGCTAAATATACCAAGACGGGCAAAAGTGCAGAACTATGGAAATATTTCATTATCCCTTGTCTCAAAAAGTACTTTTTTCTATCTTGATTTGCATTGGAATAAAATTATCACATCCTATATTTCTATAGACATAAAACAAGTTAAAAACGTGGTCACTTGCGACAGGACTGACAGAAGCCCATTTTTCCTGCACAGAATCAGTAATTATTTGGGAAGGAAGTGACCCATCCAAATAAACTTTTTGTCGTTCTAGTGTCTGGGCTGTACTACACTGTAGAAGAAAGAAAACAAAACGAAAAAGTTTAAACTAGAGGATTAGTAGTGATACAGACGGACAAAGTGCAGACAATAGCCACTCATTTTCCATTTGGAAAATGCGCTAAAAATGTTCTATTAAAAATTGAAACACTATACAAGGTATTACAAATTTTAAAATAGGTGTTATATGTCAAATGGAAACTGAACATTCAAAGTAAATACACAATTTACTATAATCGGTTAGCCAGGATTGTGTTGATTCTATAGCAACGCACACTTGGTTATTTGAATGTGATATCTTCCCTGATACTGAAAGTTTCATGTTAGCAATAGGTCATTAACACGCGCAGCTATGAAAACAACTTAAAGACACTGACACATAATTTGTGTCGACTCCGTTCACAAACATCAGAAACAAACCAACACATAATATTGGCATGCACAAACAGAATACAAACATCGATACGATCAGGTCATACATCAATAATTAGCTCTCAAACATAATCTCAGAACAGATAACACAATACTACAAATACACTCCACAGATAATACTTTAAAACCACACACATAACTTATATTTTATTATAATGTATATTTAACCTAAGCACAAAAATACTTAATGAAGAAACAAATACAATAAATACAAGTAATGGCACATACAATACAGTGGCAGATTCACCCAATAAAATTACTCGAGAAAAAGTGCGGATTTTCTGGAGAAGGCGCGAGTGATGTTACTTTTCGAATTACTTGAAAAAATAGGCAGAATTTGATTAAAATTTTATTATGGAAAAAATCGGTCGACACGCCGCTTGTAATTTTTTCAGAAAATATTATCCATGTTTAGGAGGGGGAGGGGAGCAAAAAAAGAAAAAATGTTTCTGGAAGCGAAGGTTGCCAATTGGATGCGAGACACACCTCGCGTTTACAGTTGTCATACCCCATCTATAGCATGGAACGAAACAAGATAGCACACAGTATCCAAAACCGATAAGGTATACATTGTGTTCAAGATAAGGATGTCGATCATAGCCCTCGCATAGGGATCTCTGAAACCATAGAAGATATGACGATGGTCAAATTAGGGAAAAGATGCGTAATTAAAGAATTATTATCATACTTTAAAGCAAACCAGAAAATCCCGATTACTTCCGAAGATATGATAAAAAAAACCAAAATGATTTGGTTTTTATTAAGCGGCAGAGCAAAGCGATGCAAGTTTTAAAGGGGAGTCGATGGTGTCCGTCTGTTCGTGAACACGATAACTATCAAACGCTTGGACCGATTTGGTTCAAACAGGTTCAAACTTTGCACAGTTGACCTATATGCCACTTGTAATAAGCCTATTGAAAATGGTCAAATCCAGTGCCCTACCTGTCGCTGCCAAACGCTTGAATCTATTCGGTTGAAACTTTGCACAGTAAACTTATATGCCACATGTAACAAGCTATTGAAAATGGGTCAAATACAATGACCCCGTAGGGTCACGCCTCTCTGCCTCTGGCAAACGCTTGAAGCTATTCGGTTCAAACTTTGCACAGTTAACATATATACCACACGTAACAAGCCAATTGAAAATGGGCCCAATCCAATGACTCCGTAGGGTCACACGGAGGTGCTCTGCCGCTTTTTTTAAACGCTCTTTATGGGTTTATTTCTTTCTAATGTCATTAGAACAGATACAAAAAAATAGAAAACACTCTTTTATTTTCCAGAAACTTTGTCCGATGGGTATTCTCCATTTATGTACTAAGACTGTATGACTACTGTCGACGCAAAAAGTTTGTGCAGTCGAGTTTGAAGGTTAGTAAAAAAAACCATTGGGTCGATTTTAATGGGACTTGTACCAAGTTAAAGCCTGTTTCTTTCTACTACATTTTTGAAATTAGTAGTGCTGGCATTACGCCGGAGACAATGATGTATATTAAACGGTCGTGCGACCATTCGTTTCGGAGAAAAACAACTGTTACGGCCCTAGCGTTTAAAAAAATTAAATTTTGAAAGTATAAATGTGTATGCTTATTGAGAAAAGTTCAATTTATAACATACTAAAATTTCAGGGCATTTGAACTTGTAGTTTTGTTTCTATTTGACTCTAAAATCTGTAATGATAATTAAATTTACTCAAAAAATTTTTGTTAGGTCAAACGAATGCAGAACGAAACGGGCTTTAATTTGGTACAAGTCCCATTAAAATCCAATGGTTATTTTTTTATTATTAAGCTTCAAACTCGAGTGCACAAACTTTTGCGTCGACAGTAATTCCCTATCATTCCTGCATGCGGAAAATGAAGCAAACATCTACGGTGCAAACATATATCTGTTTTCTTTATCATGTGATATTGTTCTTATGCATTTGCGTTAGTGGCTGGCGGATAATTTGAAACCTATAAAGTATGGTTTTTAAAACCTTAAATCACAAACAATTATATACAAGTAAGGTCAACTGCACATATAAACAAATGATAATTAACAAAGAAAGGCGCTTTAAATTTATTTCAGTTCGAATTTGAGGTTACTATTAATGTTTACGTTTCCGTCATCCGGCGAAGGCACCTTGTGTACGATGCTATTCCTACCTCACTAATTAATACTGTCTTTGTTTTTTATGGTACTAACAAAGACAAAATAATTTAAACCTAAATAACAACAGAATATCCATCCATGCGCAAATAAGATAACGCACTTCAAAAAGACAGAGATATATTCCTCTCCTGTAGATGTTTGCTTCAATTTTGTACATTGTTTTAGTTATATACTCTTTACGAGAGTCTTTAGTACATATATGGCATTCTCGCACGATTAGGCGTTGTGCGCGGTGGCACCATCCTGTTGAAACCAATAGTAACTGAGGGCCAATTGCACCGTCAAAATTAAGTATCCCTTAAAGTTGTTAAGCATAACTTAAATACCATAGCAACGATTGTCTTAATAATCGTTGCCATAGATTTTAAGTTCGACTTAACTTTAAGCAAGGCTTAATTTTGTTGGTGCAACTGGGGCTGAGTAACCAACTTCTGTTTTTTTGTGTGTGTGCCGTATATCGTTCGATTTCTTACAAATGCTACTCAATACAGTACGTACTTTTTTTGACGGGCCGTATAAAATAATAAAGTTGATGATGATTTCTCCAAAACCAAATGTTGTATTGAAAATCTCAATGATGTCTCGTAGGGCTCCAAAAGTAGCAATGAGAAAGTGATTTCTATTTTTTTATATCTGTCCCAATAACATCAGAAAAAAATAAAAACCAAATCGGCAAATTTCGATTTTTCTGGCATATCTTCGGAAGTAATGTGTATTTTCTGGTCTTATTTAAAGTATGATAATAATTGTTTAACTGAGCAACTAATTTGACCATCGTCGTATCTTCTATGTTTTCGGAGATCCCCATGATAGACACCCTTATCTTGGACACTGGAAAAATGAAGACACTTGTAGCTTACCTTATTGTGAATATGAAATAGCGCCGTAACCATTCTAGTCCAACGATAGTTAATATATACAGGGTGCCCATTATGTATGGAATATAATATACCGGGCGGTGACTTGAACAATGCACTATAGGAAATTTAATAGTAATTTTTTCATTTCTGCTTCCCTAATTATTATAGAGATAAAGTCTATTTAGGTTTTTTGTAGAGAATAAAATTACGAATCCATGCATACTATAGTTCTTAATTTTTTGAACTTTGAAACCAAGAAATAACTAAAAACTGGGGCTTTTAAGAAAATCAGTGGTGTCATGGCAATTTGAGATCCAACAAAGCTAATGAATGGCAAATGCCGGCGCTTTTGTTTCATTTCATAATATAATTCCATTGTATTACCGACTTTATAAACGAGACAAATTAAATTTTTACTATTTCTGAATTTATAAAATAGGAAACAATAGCATGTACGGATTCGTATTTTTTTTCTCTACAAAAAACTTAAATAGACTTTATTTCTAAAATAATTAGGGAAGCCAATAATGGGAAATTCAATTCAATTACTATTGAAATTCCTATGGTGCATTCGTCAAGTCACCACCTTATATCTCCGTAAATATGAATGCATACAGAATTTTTCTATATGAAAGTTGTTTATTTTTTTCCCATGGCAGCATTCAGATGTTTTTATTTCAGAAAACAAATGAGTAACGAAAAACAATTGAATTTTTTTAAATGTCGGTGTAGCTTTTCATTTGGCTCATTTGATAGATTTTTTTTCTCTTTTCGATGATGTGACATGTTAGTATCCTAATACAAGATAATTAAAAAAAAAATATTATAATTACCTCAATACTCAATAATTAATCTAGATATCCTACAACAAAATAAAACAAATGAACGTGTACATTTCTTATTAAACCTTGGACGACAAAATGAAATAAGCAATAAAATGGTTTTCATTGCAGTGTGAAGTGTTCAAAATATTTTTATTATTAACTGCAAGGCAATGAACTAACCTATCATGGCAAGCTTGAAATGTCTGACCATTATGGGAGAAATTGCTGCAGCAATTATTGCTAATTTCGTGTTGTCTTCAAGGTTTAATAATAAACGTACACATTCATTTGTTTTGAAAAAAAAATCCCTATCAAATGAGGCTAATGAAAGGATGCATTCCTATTTAAAAAATTCAATTGCTTTTGGTTACTCATTTGGTTTCTGAAGTCAAAACAACTGAATGCTGCCTTATTATGAGAAATGAAATGTTAAACAACTTTTATATAGAAAAATTTTGGCTTTATTTTTTATTGTACAGTGTGTTTGTAGAAATATAAATCATTTTCTTTTAGCACCTGACAATACATGGAGTTGATTTCATTTATAAATGCCGATTTCTAACCAAGAAGCATGCAATATGCTGGCGGCGATGGTTCGTGGTTGATTCGGATAACGCAAATAGCAGATGCGAGCAGCGATGGTCGCATTTTGAAAACACTCAAAATATATCGCTTGGTTAGAAATCGGCGCGGCATTTTAGAAAAGATTACAAATTCAAAAAACTGCACAGCAGAATAATTTACAAATTACGGCTGTTATTATTTTATAGTGCATCGTGTTTCATTTGTTTAACTTTCCAAGGCTTACCTAAAAGTGTAGGGTGCTTTTCCAAACAATCTTTCGCGCCATCGACAAATACCGGAAATACGTCAAAAGTAAATTTAAGATACATTTTAAGCATTTTTATTAATTAATCAATTCATCAATCTCATTTTCCCAATATTTTAGGTTAGGAACGAGATTTTGAAAAACGGTTTTCACTGGCCTCTTTGGTTGTTATTTGGCTACTTTTCCATAAAGAAGAAGTCATATCCTTCCATTTGATTTTTTTAGGATTTTGGATCATAGTGTTAAAACTAGCCCCCTGGCGGAGAAGGATTCAACTAAATTACCTAAATTTTTTATTCTTATTGCCCAAGGAATGCTCTTTTCAACGATACCAAATTTGTTACACTCGGTCAAACGGTTAAGAAGTTAAAGCAGGTTATTGTAAAAACAATTGAAATAACTGAGTTTTTGTTTTTACGAAAATGATAGATAAACTGGTTCTCTTTAAAAATGTGAAAAAAGAATGTTCAGTTTATTATGGGAAATTGAAAGAAAATGCAATTTTAAAATTTAGAATGGTAGTTACGCCCTCTGGTGGTCATTTTTAGAACTTGAAAATATTTTCCAGCGATTCTTCATAACCGATTTACCGAATAATTTTTTACCCCTAGGTCATACGACGAACGGTTCCCGAGATATGGGCGAGGAACAGCCTTATTGGGTGACTCGGTACATACACTATTTTTTGAGGTACGCCATCCGAGGCGAGTATCGATCCTTGCCCTTTGTGAACATACAAAAAATGATTTCATAAAAAAAATCGCCAAATAAAATTAATTAATAAAATTCTCCTCTCACCTGATGTAATAACTTTGGCCTGCCCTTGTACCAACGGCGAGGTGGATGGCTTTTGAATTTTTGACACCGCTCGGTACTGCGAACTCATTACGGTTTGCTGCAACGGCAACGCCTTTTGCTTTAATGACTGCAGAATTTGCTGCTGTTGGGCCGGTGTGAGTCTTGGCTGCGCGACCTTGTTTTGAATGCCAGTCTGAATGACCTGATCTTGTATGACAACAGGCTGTTGAGAGGTCGTTACTACGATCTCCTTAGCTTGTAAAGCACTGGACTGTATCACCGAACACGTCGAGGGTATAACATTCGGCGTCGGAGAATTTGCCTTGATGACAGTGGTAGCTTTTATGGCTTGCAATTGCGGTGTGACCGACTGGAGAAGTTGCTGCTGTACCGATATTGGAACACGATGTTGAACTTTCGTTTCGTTCATCTTTTGCTCGGCCATCTGCGCGTTTTGCTTTTGCAGCAGTAGCTGTTTTTGCTGAGCGATAGTTTGCAAAATTTGCTGCGATACTGGTTGCGGCGTTTGCTTTACGGTCGACGACTTCGATTCGATTTGTTTCAAAAGCTGTGGACTGGCAGTGGGTAAAATGAGTGACTTGCCTTGGTTTGAAGCTATAATTTTGACTAAACTTTTATTACTGTTTTTAGCAGCATTTGGGCTAGCTGTCCGTTTCACGGCAACACCTTCGTTTATATGCTTCTCTGGCAAGGAGAGGGGGGGAACTTGCGTTTGTAAGTACTTGGCAGGAGACTTTGGAGCACTAGATTGTGGATTTGCACTAATTTTTCGTTGTGAGCTTATTGCTTTCTCAAGGCATGTCGTAGTATTATTTGGCAGATTAGCTTTGTTTGAAATTGCACTTTGCTTTGAGTTAATAACACTAGTTAACCTATCGTTGGGATTCGGGTATTGTTCAACGGTGTTCATTACTTCGGCTTTAGTTTTATCAGACACCACTTGGCTTTCGGGACTTTTTTGCTTCACTACTTTGTCATGTTTGCTTCTTGGTTTTGAAACGGGTTTACTTTTAGGTACTGCTTTCTTAAGAGTCTTACTGACTCCCTGATACTGATGGTGTATTCGTTCAAAATCTTCCTCGGACCGGTTTCGGTGTAAATAGATCCACACTTTTCGTTTCGACTCGTACTTAACGCACGGATCAAATTGAGTATGCATGCGATCAAGAGCACCACTAACTACACTTTGAAGGACGTTATCAGGTACATTAGTTGAAAGATATTGAGAGGATTTTAACAGTTCACAAATGTCCGCGCGAGTACCTTCGCCGTTCGGTAAACGTGCAGTGGCATCTCGCACTAAAGTCAATATCGTAACATAGTTTGGTCTATCTGCATTCAACACACTGTGTCCCCTCGCCTTTGTAGAACCAACATTTTGATTATTATATACACCTTTCACAGGACCTACGACACTCTCGTACCCGTTACACCTGTACGTAAATGCTTTATGTGGATTGCTGTACCTTCGCCGTTCCTGTTCCTGAAACGATTTGATTTCCTCCGAGTTTGCCTTTCTGATACTCCAAGTTGTCGGACAACGTGGCGGTGGGGGAGTCTGAGACCTATCGCTAACTTCGACATCTTCCTCTTTTGGTTTGACCAACAACGCTGGCTTCATTTGATTACGATGTTCCAACCAATATTGACAAAGGGGAGAGAGAAGACTATCCGAATCCCTGCCTGCTCCTATCCATTGATACATTTCCAGTTTTTCCTTGAATTCAATGTAGGGAACGAAATCTTCTGGTTGCTCAGAGAAATTACCTGTAGAATTATACATTAAATTAATTATTGTAATGTGCAATAGAATTATCAAAAAATTAATACTATATAACTATAGGAATTTTTCAAAAGACCCAGTATTAGGTTGATACCTAGCTGGATAGTGCCTATCTGATTGAGGCACGATGTTAATTTGTAACATCAATTCTGCTTCTCATAGCTTTCATCAATAAAAATAAAATTCCCAATTAAACATTTGGCATGTTTTCTACTTACATTTTGTAAAACGATTTTGACGAACATGAGCTACTTTTTTTTGTAAAACGTGCTATGCCATAATCAAAGTGTTCATGCCTAATTTCGTTTATGAGTTATGGAGTGATGGAGTGAAAATATACCCACTTTACATCTGTGCTCTAGGTACTACAAGTTATTCAAAAGATTAAAATGGGTTGGGAACGGAACCCTTCTACAATTATGACCATTTTTAGTGCATTTCAAAATTTGAAAAAAAATTCGGTATTGTCGCCACTTTGTCCGTCACGATGGTGCGCCCGCGCACAACGCCCTAATCATGCGAGAATACCTATTGGACAAATCCTGGCAAATAGAAAATATGTCCCATTAGGATGTTGTGCGCGGATACACCATCATGTTGAAACCAACAGTTTCCAACTTTTCTTTTTTTTGTGTACCGTAAATCGTTGTATTCGTAAATTAAATATAAAAAAATAAAATTGAAGATGATTCCTCCAAAACGAAACATTATTTTGAACATCTCTCAAACAAAATCGGCAAATTTCGGTTTTTCTGGCGTATCTTCAGAACTAATCGGAATTTTCTGGTTTTCTTTACAGCATAATAATATCTAGCGAAATCCGCATATAGCGACGGCGAGGGACCGGTGCTATTGCATCGTACTAACTGGACAACGCAATAAGCGGATCGATTTTTAAATTTTTTTAAGTTTTAATGTCGATTTTAATTTTTAATTTGTACCTAAAAGAATGCGTAACAAATAATATGTCAAAGAAAATTAAGGAAAGCTTTTAATTGAAATAAATAGTTTTATTTAAATTCTGTGATATTGAAGTGCAGAGAATACAAAAAATAACATAAATACATACTTTTTTTCTTCAATTGAGAAAGATTTTCGTTTCAATGAACTCGTATTTACGAACACTTTGTACAGGGAAAAGGACGCGTGGAAGAAAAGCGTTTACTGTTTGCTTTGGAAGACATATGGCGCAAGTCGTTCTAGCCGGATGTTATGAAAAAATACTTCGTCTAAAACGGTTGGTCGCTGAAAACGGAGTTGTATTAAACGGATGTACTCTTCTTATAGTAATATCTTTGTTTATTCTTTAATAAACAATGGTAACATGTATGAAAACCTAACTTAACTAACATTGCTTGTCCGCCCCTAAAAACGGATCGTCGTTATACCCGAAAGTCCACTTTAATCGCGCAACTTTTCCCTAATTTCTTCGTACCTATCTTCTATGGTTTCCGAGATCGCCATGAGAAGACATCCTTATCTTGGACACAAGGTATAGTAGTAGCACTCTAAAGCTTGTTGCACATTAAGGCGACGGTCACGCTCACAGTCACCATTTCTATTATTTATTTCTTAGTTCATAAAACGGTAGGTAAAGGTACCGTTTGCAAAGAATAGGAAACCCGAGAGTAAACCAAAGAAATAAAGAAGAATTAGCGGATTAGGCTAGCTTTTCTGATCCATTCTTGAACAGGGGTGCGAGAAAGAATTCCGGATTTGAGTAAATTTGGTATCTCTTTTAAAAATAGTTGCGACAGTTGTTTCGACAATTTTTGTGGTCCAACCTGGATTTTTTCCAATTTTTAAATGTTGGCGACATTTTTTTCGTACCCCCTCATACAGAAGTGCACCATTCTGGGGTAGTAATTTTGAAAATATTTTTACAAAGAAAAAAGGCATCCACATGGGAAAAAATTTACAGAAGAATCGCGAAGTTTGGGGGACGTAGCTCCACACGAAACATTTTAGACATTCGGTTTCTTTGGAAAAATGCCTTCTACCGCCCATTTTTTTTACATAGATAATTGTTACGCCTTGTATAGTTAACATATTGGTGGACGATACGATAATGCAAAGTATAGGTAATGGAGCGAAATTGGGACAAAAATGTGGCACATTTTTTTGAGGTATAACAAGATCAGACCAAAATAGACATTGTAATTCTGCATCCAAAAAAGGTAGTTTACGACGACGATATCGCGGTGTCGGCCAAATTAGATTTTGCAAGATATCTCGCGTCAAAAAAACACATGAAATAGAAGGTATTTATACCGGAATTTTGCGTTACATATTCTGTTTGACTATATCTCTGTACCATTGATTAACATATAACGAGTTAATATATCAATGTCTGTACAGAATGCTTCAAACTCGTGGCTGACCATTGGGATCTCCGTAACAATACAGTGTAGGTCTTTTTTTCTGAGAATCTGAATCTGTTATCAAAATATCCATAACATGCTAGATGTAGAAGCTATATGCTACCACTTTCTTATTTCTTATAGACGCCATATTAAATCTTTATAGAATGAGATAGTAGTGCTTTTCGAACTTAACCATATAACCGAGGGGCTGACCACTGCGCAAAATTGTGTACACCACATTTGCCATTTTCCACATTTGCTCAACATTTGCTACATTTGCCAGACATTTGCTACATTTACTACATTTACACAATATTTGCTACATTCGCTATAAATTTACCAGAAATTTGTTACATTTGCTCATCGAGGTACAACATACATTTAAATATATGTACAGGGTGGGGCAGAGGAACTTGCTGATTTGTATTCGGCGCCCTTAGGCGACGGTTGCTCCGACGAAAGTGGGAATAGGTATATTTGAGAGAAGGGCATATAAAGTTTTTCCGCCGCGTAGTGTCGTCACCATCAGGAGGTGGACGAAGGCGGAACGCCCGTTCGCCGTCGAAGCATACTTTTCTAACGGTCGCTCAGACGTAGCCACGCAACGTGCATTCCGTACTCATTTTAATATCGCGCCACGTGGACGTGTTCCTGGCCGGCAATTCATTGTTTCATGGGTAAACAATTTTAGGGAAACTGGTGATGTGAAGAAAAAAAATTAAAATGAGTAGGTACGGAATGCACGTTGCGTGGCTATGACTGAGCGACCGTTAGAAAAGTATGCCTCGACGGCGAAGGGGCGTTCCGCCTTCGTCCACCCCCTGATGGTGACGACACTACGCGGCGGAAAAACTTTATATGCCCTTCTCTCAAATATACCTATTCCCACTTTTGTCGGAGCAACGGTCGCCCAAGGGCGCCGAATACAAATCAGCAAGTTCCTCTGCCCCACCCTGTACAAGCATTTGCGCGGGTCATTTGGTGAATTGAAATATGATATCACTTAAGTGATAAACAACAATTGAATATTTTCCAGAAGATTCATAGAGGTTAAAATGTGGTCAAGAAAATGGAAATATGATGCTGATGCATATTTTTATATACCTATGCGGTCTATGGTCACGAACTTATAAATTAAGATGGACTGCTGATCAAACGTTTTAGTTATTTTCTAGGGAATTTTTCCTAGTGCTCAAGTTTTGAAACTATTGTAGCCTTGGAAAATGACATGTGTCACAGTAATTTTCTTACGTAAGTTTTTTTTTCTATAATTCAGTACAGCAAGAAAAATTGACCTGGCTAGCTCCAGGGCAGTAAAATAAACCTCTCAAAAGAGGGCGAAAAGACCACTTAACATTGATACAAAATAAAATATGGACAACACTTTATTTACACAATCTGGTTTTGATAATTGTCACCATTTAATTCAAATTCCAGGATTGACTCCCAAAAATGAGATCAGAGCAATTTTTATTTTATCCGCGCAAACAAAATATTAATTAACGTTCTTAGTAAACACGCTGATCAAAATGTGTTGGAAAATCGTATGAAAAGAACAGATTACATACGTGTTTTTACACTGTACAAGATGGAGCCTTGAACGCCTTGATGTGGATTAGCAAATTTCCCCAAATTCTTATCTGCAACAGCTATTGTGCGAGCGGCCGTGTTACTTATTGATAAGCGGACTGCATTCCCGTAAACAGATGTACGTGATTAATTGATCGCAACGATTTTGCTCTGCTTGTTGAATTTTCGATGATAGACGAAATTAAATGGCCCATAAACCATTCATCCAAGATGAATTAAATTAAATTTCAAAGTATACAATAAAAAAAAACCCTAAAAAATTTAAATTCAAAATTTGAAAACTAATTTAAAAAAAGGCATACCTTTAATTCAAAGGGTTATAATAAACGTCCGTGGTTCTTTATTGACCTTCAAAGATTCCACGCTTAACTCCCAAAATTAGGATATACAAATTGTAATTATGTAGAATAGTTAACTCAAATCCTCCAACAACTTCGGAGAGACACCAATATCAATAATGCGTCTATTTTTAAAGATCAACTATTCTAGCGAAGAAAAATTTAACGGCCAGCTTTTTCGAATATTTTCGTAGTAATCATCTACGTTACCGATAATGCATAAGAGCGAACATAATCGTTAAGGATCGTCTAAAATCGATCGATTATTTGAAATAAATACGTAACAATTTATTTATAGCGTTTTCGATTGGCAAAACTCGTACTGCACGAGTGTTGCACGAGAAACTGAAGAAATCCATGTGAAAATTGCTCTCAATGAAACATAAATATTCGTAAATATTTGCTGTCATTTGTCCATAACCTCATTTTAGATTTGTATTTATACAATGATTTAGGTAATCGACAAATCTGTATTCTAAAAAAATGACTGAAACGATTTCACTATTATTTATGATAAACAATGAGGAATATAAATTTGAAATTCCTGTAAAGAACCAATTTTTGGCGTTCACTTTAAAGAGTAAATGCAACTTTTTGTAAAGTAGAAGTTATATGGCTAGTTCATCATCTTCGCTATCGCTAGATGACAACAAAAAACTCTCCAACGCAAGAAACAAATTCAAATTGGCGCAC